ATTTGTTAAGTTTGATGATGCATTATGGATTTATAGGACAGCTTTCATAACTTCCCTAGGGATGTCTCCTTACAAGGAATTGGAATATAAAGCATTTTGGCATTAAGAAGTTAAATTTTGATTATGGCTACAAAGTGAGGAGGGAAGGATAATGCAACTAAACAAGTTGGACGAATTTAGGCACCTAGTCTATGAAAATGCCAAGATGTATGCCGAGAAAACAAAAAAAAAAAAAAAAAAAAAAAAAAAAAAAAAAAAAAAAAAAAAAAAAACATGACAACAAAATAAGGCAAAAAGAGTTAAAAAAAGACAACAAGTGGTTTCTTGAGAAATTAAAATCAAGATGGTTTGGTCTTTTCGAGGAAGTCACTGCCTATATGCCAACAATCATCCCGAGGGAAGACACACGAGAACATGAAGTCAGCTAATTTCACTTTGTGTATATTTGGATATGATTGATTATTTTCGCATAATATATATTTTTTTTAATATGCATTCCTTATCTATCACACTTTTTTATTCAACAACCTGCCATATATTATAATAGAAAGCATCAACCTATCATGATATTACTCGTAAGTAAGAATTTTTAAGGAAGTAGAAGAGAGGATGCAAAGAGTGGACGAATCAAGAAGTGGTTTTCAACGATTTCTTAATGTGAGGTCACTTGGAAACGCATTAAGAGACCTGAAGCCAACCTCATCCTACATCGCTATATTTATGAAGAGTCGGTTGACAAAGACATCAACTAATTGAGTGGAGTAGGATGTCACGGTAATGCTTGTCCAAGACATGTTGTGTAGCCACATGTTGGATTTTTCGATCATGCTTGTATGTCCATTACAACCCATTTTTACTTGGTTACATGTTAGGTGGGTCTTTATTATTATTGTTGTGTCAATACAGGGGTGGATGACCGTTCGTCAAAAATCATGTCTACCGTCACTAACTTTAAAATGCCCAAAATGTTATAGGAGATCTAAGTAGCTTGTCAAGTTTTGAGGGTGGAATAGTTACAAATTTAATAAAAATTTAATAAAAATTTAATAAAGAAATGGAGATTTAAATTTGAAAATCCAATTTGGTGTTACACACGAAATGGTCTAGTAAGACCAATCCCTTCGGGGGAGTTCAAAAGGTTTCATACGTACCTGCCCTCTCTCTCTCTCTCTCTCATAGTTCCCTTTACCAATTTGAGCAACGCATGCCACATCCATCGCAAATCTTCTTCAAACCCAGTGAGTTTCTCTTGTTATTTATCGATAGTTTCATCAATTACGGTACAGTTTGATTCAAATACTACTGGTTTCTCAATCTTTCCCAACTTTTCACGACTCTTTAATCTCTTTTTTGATTTTCTTGTCGCTTGTTTTCGTTCGTATTTTAATACAATTGCAAATGGGTTGCACGGTGAGGGATAAGCATGTTCGAACGAGTCGGAGGCTTCGATCGGTAAAATCCGTAATCGATCCGCGTTCTTATCAAGAACGAGATTCACTTCACAAATCTGTGCTTGAATCGAGTTCCAAGCCGTTGGATTATCATATAGGGCTCGGCGATTCGAACCAAAATACCGCGGTTACGTTAAACTCTAATTCTAGTTCCTACTCGGATGGTGGTGAATGGGTTTACTGTACGGAGGAGCAATTGGAGAAAATCTTGATGAAGAATTTACAATTTATTTATACTGAAGCTATTTCTAAGCTTGTAGCATTGGGTTATGATGAGGATTCTACGATGAGAGCGATTTTGCAAAATGGGCATTGCGATGGTACCATGGATGCTCTAACAAATGTACTGCATAATTCACTGAAGTTTTTGAATGTTAACGACAATCCTGATAATGCCAACACCGAGGCAGTTGCAGCTGTTGTAGCTGCTGCCGAATCTGGTGATGATAACGGTAATGGTATTGCCATTGCCATTGCTAATGCTCATGCTAATTTATCTGTGCATGATCCTGAGCCTGTGTTCTCTGATTTAAGGCAATTGCAGGAGTACTCGTTGGCTAGTATGGTGTGTTTTTTGCAACAAGTTAGGCCTCATTTGACTAAACGAGATGCTATGCGGTGTCTGCTTATGAGTGATCTTCATGTCGGTCGGGCAAGTGCCATGGAAATTCCGGTGCTTCCTTCAATACCAAGTCCTGTTAATGGGACAGCGTCTGGAGCCAATGGTGAGAATGTTCGTAAACAACCAGTGAGCTTTTTGGCCCCATCCCATTGTAAATTTCAGGGTAGTTCAGGTTTTGGAAATGGTGGAGGTTTGGAATTTTCTGTTAATGGGTCTCCATCTTATGCCCCTGATATGAATTTGCCTAGTGATATTGAGTGTCCGAAGAGGTTTAATCTTTCTCCTTCAATGAAGTCGTTGTTGAAGAGGAATGTGGCTGCATTTGCTGCTGGTTTTCGAGCAAACTCAAAGCACATTCAGGTGCAGTCTCAAGCTTGTGCAAATGCCTTACCAAGTGAAAATTCCCCTGTTGGAGTTCCGGTGGAGAAAAGAGGGTTGTCCCAGATTTCAGAGAACCAAGCTGCTGTAAATTCAATGTTGAGTAAATTTCGCGATTTGAAACTTTATGAGAATTTGGATTTCGTTGCAGAAGATCAAAAGGATGAAGTGATTGTAAATCTCTTGCATCAGATTAAAGAACTTGAAAGACAAGTAAAGGAGCGGAAAGAGTGGGCGCACGAAAAGGCAATGCAAGCTGCAAAGAAACTGAGTCATGATCTCACTGAGCTTAAATTTTTGAGGATGGAAAGGGAAGAGACCCAACGCCTGAAAAAAGGCAAGCAAACTTTAGAGGACTCAACAATGAAACGACTATACGAGATGGAGAATGCTTTGAGAAAGGCCAGTGGTCAGGTGGATCGTGCAAATGTGGGAGTGCGACGCCTTGAGACAGAAAATGCAGAAATTAAGGCAGAGATTGAAGCTTTAAAGTTAAGTGCTTCCGAGTCTGCCACTGCTTGTTTGAAGGTTGCAAAGAGGGAGAAAAAAAGCCTAAAGAGACTACTGGCCTGGGAAAAGCAAAAAACAAAATTACAGGAGCAGATTGCAGAGGAGAGGGATAAGATATCAAAGTTGCAAGATGAATTGGAGATGATCAAGTTAGCTCAACAAGAGGCCGAGGTAAAAACTCTTATGTTCCTCACTTTTCCTTTCACAATTAGTTGATGTTCAATAGCAATTAACAAAGCCAAGTTGTAAATAGTTTTATCTGGTTCATATTGCTGAGGTGATTTGCTATTTACGCAAATAATGGCAATGAATCAACACAAGTAACAGCAAGGATTAGTAACTCAGCTGTCAGCTCCCTTTAGGATATGAATAGCTGAACCATTTTTTTTGCCTCTTTGACCTTAATGATTTACTATTTTGCTGAGTATCAAACATGATTGAGAACTGTAGGTTTGATTTTGCCAAAAAAATAGTTGCATAACCCGAGTTTTGCAAGTCGTCTTAGTGTCTTTTCTGCTCGAGTCATCTGAGATTGATAATGTAAAGGCTATGGTTCAAAATCACTATAGTTTCAAGGCTGTTCCTTTTTCCTGCTTTTCTTGTATATCACTGATACCATTGTTTCGTTAAAAGTAGGAACTGCAGTATAAAACTTTTTAGTATAATTTTTCACTGCTCAGCTAATTTCGGACTCTCATGAAAACATAGTGATCTGCTTCTGTGATGGTCATACCTTTGACGGAAGCTTGCAGGCTGCTTATCGCTTGAAAGTTTCAAAATCTGCATTTTGTTTGTCCTGAATATGCATAAACTAGAAGGAAATTGTGCTTGTGAATCGTAGATCACTCTTTGTTCTTTTAAATGTTCTATCTAATGATTTCCTGATTATATTAGATGATTGAATTCCTCTTGCTCTAAGCACCAATAAAACCACCTTCCATTGCAACCATGTGAGTTTTCAGATTAGCTATGTTGGTGATTGCTATGCTTATATAAGTGGGTGTCGCTGTCTATTTGTCCTGCTTTCCTTGTTCACTCAAACACCTTGTTTCTTGCCTCTGGAATAACATGTTGCTGCCATTGTAGTTCTCTCGTAAAACAATACCTTCATATAGTGTTCCTTATCATTTACCGTGCGAAGGATGATGAATGTTCTACAGGTGAGGTGGAGGCAGGAGGTGAATGCTAAAGAGGCTGCCATGGTCCAAGTGGAAGACAAGAGACGTAGTAAAGAAGCAGCGGAGGCAAGTAGTAAAAGAAAGCTCGAGACGTTACGCCTTAAGATAGAGATAGATTTTCAGCGGCACAAGGATGATCTGCAAAGGCTTGAACAAGACCTTTTTCGTCTACAAACATCTGCACAAGCCACTGATGAACCACATCACCCCTCCAATAACACACCCAAAAGAAGTTCAAAGGATGTAAGACCCCAGGGAGAAACCATTGCGAAAATGCTTCGTGAATTGGATAACTATGAGGATTATTCAGAGAACGAGGTCGAGCGCAACCGTGAATGCATAATATGCATGAGAGATGAGGTTGCTATTGTTTTCTTGCCTTGTGCTCACCAAGTTCTGTGTAACAGTTGCAGTGATAACTATGGCAGAAAGGGTAAAGCAACATGCCCATGTTGTCGGGTTCCAATAGAACAAAGAATCCGAGTTTTTGGTGCGAGTTCGTAGAACGATAGTAGGAGTTTTCAAAGAATAGCATATCTCAACTGTAACATTTCTTTGTTAAAAGATACTGAGTTTACAGTGCTCTGCATACTTTTGTCATATATATATATATATATATATATATATATATACACCTTTGAATATGTTTACTTCAATATGCTTTTGGTATATGAGAATGGTTACAGTGTATACAAATAAAACATAACAAAACAAAGTTGCCTTGCATATGGCAACTTTTGCGTTCCACGAATTGTCACGACTTTTTTCATGATTTGTGTATGTTGATCATGTTGTATGAAAATTTATTTTCATTGATAGACCTATTTTTAAGGGTTTTTTTTTTTTCACACGAGGAGCTTGATGAATCCATATTCATATAGTATGAACCTTGGACCTAAAACATTTCAAAAAAAAAAAAGGGGGCCCTTGATCTGGGACCCATTTTTGTTTACTCATCCAACTTTAATATATATATTTATATTTCAGGTTCTCAAACAACACCAAGAAGCAGTGGGGTCGATAAGCAAAGCCGAAGCGGAATTGATGGGCGCCGAGAAAAATGCCTCAGAAAGGATTTTGGGATAAGGTACCGTTTTCTTCTTCTAAACCCCACTTTCGAATGCAAGTGAATACGAATCAATGGCTTCCTGTACTTTCAACAATGTATTTTGCAGGTTGAAGACAACCCCCAGCTGTTCATTTGGCTGGAATTGGAACTTCGGCAATGCCAACAACAAAGACAACAAACCCCAAATCAAATACCACGATATCGATCTTCCATTTCCTCTCTCTCTCGTCGATAATACATTCTTGAAACGTATTTTTCTTTCCACTCTTGAAATCCCTGGGTTTGACCTGTTCTTTAATGCCTTTTTGCTTTCAAATCGTAACAATATAGTCCTTAGTATGTAACAATAGTCCCGTCGTGTAAGATTTCTAAGAATTTAGTCTCTTCGATGAAAATTGTCACCATAATGGTGATGTTTTTAGTCTTCTTGGTTTATAAACACACATAATCACTTGTCGGTTAATTGAATGCCATCTTTTTGTTCTTTCCATTGTTGGAATCTTTGTTTGAGTGTTCTTGAATGTTCCTTACTTAGTCTTTGTTTCTAATTTTTGTTTCCCTCTGGCTTAATGTGCTCAGAAATGGTGCTTCTATGTTTGTTTGTTCCATGAAGATTTATGTGCTGGGGGTGTGGGAAATCTCTGATTCAAGTTGCAGAATAACTTCAATGTTTCTTAGGAAGAAAAACTCAATGAGCTTATGATTTTTTTACTCTCCCCCTGCTTGACATATACTATAAAAAATCTTACATCTGAATTATGCACTATGAAAACATATGGTTCATCTTGTAGAAACTTGTTACATTGTTCTTAAGATGCATTTTCAGGTGCATTTGCCTTTGAATCATAATGTTCGTATTACGTTGTAGTGTTGTGAGATCCCACATCGGTTGGTGAGGAGAACGGAACACCCCTGAGGAAATCTCTCTCTAACAAATATATTTTAAAAATTTTGAGAGAAACTCAAAAGAGACACTATCTCTAAGTATGTATCACACCAATACAGACCATCATCTATATTTGAATTGTCAAAATATTTTGCAGGTAAGGAACTGAAATGCTGCTATAAGGCCACGTCAGACGGATTCAGCGCCACCGATTTCCACACGTGTTGTGATTTCAAAGGGCCATGTGTCATAATTGGGTACACAGACAAATCCTTCAAGTTTGGTGCATTCAACCCAGAAGGCTACAGGAGCACAGATGACTACTATGACACTTTTGATGCATTCCTCTTCTATTGGGAACACAATGAGACGGCTGATGATCCCATCATCTTGCCTAAGGTAGGGGGTAGCGGTGCAGCTTTGTTTGATTACGCGAGGGGTGGGCCACAGTTCGGGGCGGACGGGCTGCTGATCGGCCCCCCTCTAGCACCTGTGATGGGAGGCTTTGCCGGGCCAGACACGAACTCAGGCATTGGGGACTTGAGGCAAGCCAAGTCTCGGCTCGGGCTGTCGTATGCCAAGAGAAAAGATGGGAAGGACTCCATTTTTGGAGATGCAAACAGAGCTGTTGTTGCTGAAGTACAGGTCTTTTGCAGCCCTCAAATAGCAAGCTTGTATTGAAAGAGGGATGAGTTGTTGTTAGACTAATGACCAAATTATTGCGATTATAGCTATAATAACTGGAATCTGTATGATGTTTCAATTATGCACGAGGTTGTGTTATTGTTTAATTTCATTTATAAAATGTTTTATGTAAAATTATATATAAACTTAAATTAAAAGTTATATTTTGTTTACTTATTTGATAATAATAAAAAATCAAGAAAAATGGATATAAAATAATTGTGTTAAACAAAACCTATTTTTAGTTTAAAGACATAAAAAAAAAACGGACAAAATTAGAAACAACAAATTAAATTCACTTTCTCATAATTCTTAAAAATGAAAGCAAAACGGATAGAAGGAAAAAAAAATAGCAAAAATAAGGGCCCAACCGGGTTCGAACCGGTGACCTCTTGATCTGCAGTCAAATGCTCTACCACTGAGCTATAGACCCTTGATATTCTTTCGCAAGCTGGTTATTTATAATATTGATAATAATTAATATGTACTTACAACTAAATTGATAGCCTTATAACAGGGCAGCTTAGAACAATTTCTCCAGCTCTCCTCCACTGCCAACGGCGCTCCTCTCTCCATCCTTTCATATTTGTGTTCACAATGAGATAAGGCACTGCTCTGACCCATCTTCCTCCAAAGCTCATGCCCTCTCCCATGGCGCCTCCTCTTTCTTCCCCTCTCGATGTCAAACCAACTTCCATGTTCTTCATTTCCCCATTGCGCCCCAAGAATTTCACCAAACCCCTAACAGTCCTCTGTACCTCCTCCAAATCCCCTCCAAAACCTTCTCAAATTTCCTCAGAATCAAATGACAGAAAAAACCCATCTCTATCCGAGCAGCTCAAGAATCTCTCCACAACCACGCTTCCCAATGCATCCAAAGACGAATCCCATCTCCTTTCGAAGCCTAAATCCACTTGGGTGAACCCCACCAAGCCCAAGCGCTCGGTTCTAGCTCTCCAAAGGCAGAAACGCTCTTCTTACTCATATAACCCCAAACGCCGAGACCTTAAAACCTTTGCCCACAAGCTCAACGCCTGTGAATCCTCTGAAAGTGCTTTCATGGCAGCTCTTGAGGAAATCCCACATCCACCCACTAAAGAAAATTCCCTTCTGATTCTCAATAGCTTGAAGCCATGGCAGAAAACTCATCTGTTCTTCAATTGGATCAAGACCCAGAATCTGTTCCCTATGGAGACTATCTTCTACAATGTGGCTATGAAGTCTTTGAGGTACGGTAGGCAGTTTCAGCTTATTGAAGATCTTGCTAATGAGATGATTAGTAGTGGGATTGAGCTTGATAACATTACTTATTCTACCATAATCACTTCTGCTAAAAAGTGTAGTAGATTTGATAAGGCTATGGAGTGGTTTGAGAGAATGTATAAAACTGGTTTGATGCCTGATGAGGTGACTTACTCTGCTATTTTAGATGTTTATGCTAATTTAGGCAAAGTTGAGGAGGTTCTTAGTTTGTATGAAAGAGGGAGGGCTAGTGGTTGGAAGCCGGACACTGTCACATTCTCTTTGTTGGGGAAGATGTTTGGGGAAGCAGGGAACTATGATGGGATAATGTATGTTCTTCAAGAAATGAAGTCTCTTGAGGTGCAGCCTAATCTTGTGGTGTATAACACTCTGTTGGATGCAATGGGGAAGGCTGGGAAGCCTGGTTTTGCAAGGAGCCTGTTCAACGAAATGATTGAATCGGGGATAACGCCGAATGCGAAGACGTTGACTGCGCTGGTTAAGATTTATGGGAAGGCGAGGTGGGCTCGAGATGCTTTAGACTTATGGGAGCGGATGAGGTCGAACGGGTGGCCGATGGACTTCATTTTGTATAATACCTTGTTGAGTATGTGTGCTGACCTTGGTTTGGCGGAGGAAGCTGAGAAGCTCTTTGAAGAGATGAAGAGGTCGAAGCAATGTCGACCAGATAGCTGGAGCTACACGGCGATGTTGAATATATATGGTAGCGGAGGTAACGTTGAAAGAGCCATGGAGTTGTTCGAAGAAATGCTGGAGTTGGGTGTTGAGATTAATGTGATGGGCTGCACTTGTTTGATTCAGTGCTTGGGGAAAGCTGGGAGAATTGATGATCTTGCAAGAGTTTTCGATGTTTTGGTACAAAAAGGAATCAAGCCAGACGACAGACTTTGTGGCTGTTTGCTGTCTGTTGTGTCTTTGTGTGACAATAGTGAAGATATTAACAAGGTATTCGCTTGTCTGCAACAAGCTAACCCAAACTTAGTTGCCTTCATAAACCTTCTGCAACAAAACGACATTACCTTTGAAGTAGTCAAAGACGAATTCAGGAACATTCTTGGCGACACTGCGATGGAAGCGCGACGTCCTTTCTGCAATTGCCTAATTGATATATGTCGAAACCAAAATCTTCATAAGAGAGCTCATGAGTTGCTTTACTTAGGAAGTATGTATGGATTGTACCCTGGCTTACACAACAAAACCGATGCTGAATGGTGCCTAGACGTTCGATCGCTATCAGTAGGCGCAGCTCAGACTGCACTCGAAGAATGGATGATAACTCTAACGAAGATCGTTCAACGAGAAGAAGCATTGCCAGAATTGTTATCAGCTCAAACAGGTGTAGGAACTCACAGGTTTTCTCAGGGACTAGCCAATTCATTTGCTTCTTATGTAGAAAAACTTGCTGCTCCATTTCAAATGCAAGAAGACCGGGCTGGGTGGTTTGTAGCCACAAGGGAGGATTTAGTTGCATGGGTGCGTTCAAGTGAACCATCTGTGGCTGCCACAACAGCTTAATCAGCCATGGGTTTAGTAGCAGGCACCTGTCAGGACTAGAATGTATGAGTTAATTCAAAAAGTAACGTGTTTTTCAGAAGCATATTCGGGTTCATATTGCATGTAAAAGAACATAATTCAGAGAGAAACACAGGCCTTCCATTTAGGCACAGAGAAAACTTGGACTGCTAAATTCTATAAATCCGGAGTGGTGGAATCCACCGTACAAGGGACTGCTCAATTTTTCAGCAACTAAAATTATACCCCCACCAATTTACATCCACATTCCTTTCTTTTTTTCTTTCTTTTTTGGCCTAAAATGATAAAAAGAGGCACAAACGAATGGCAAGTGCCTGATCCCTATGCAAAAATTCTTTCTTCCTTGGAGGTGTCTAAAAGGGGAAGGAAACAATAGATAATAGAAGGTGAAAGAAGTTAAATGTTCCAATTGACTGCTGTTCATCCTCCAAACCAAAGTGTGGCATCTAGTTGCGCCTTTGGGAACGTGCATCCAACTTGTAGCCTTTTCGTCGATATCACATGAGTTCGTCCAATTTCTTCAGGCTGGCTTGCTGCTTGAGATGCAAAAGAAAAAACGTAAGGCGATCCATGAAATATGGGACGGTTGTATGTTCATGTCACTTGCAGAGCACCATCCGAGTTGAAGGCACGAATGTCGTTTCACTTGACCAGAGATTTATGAAAGTCTTTCAAAGGTATTTTCCTGAGGATTTCCAGATTCTTCCTTCAAGTGAAATGACCATAACAGTAACGTCGTCATGATACTTCCTCCGATCCCCCTGTGGGATGTCCAACAATTCGTGAAAATCCATTCCTGCAAAGCATAAACATAGAGACCGATCCTGAATGAGAATCAACCTTGAGAAAGGCATCACTGTGAAAGACTTTGGTAATCATTGAGAATGCAACAAGGAAATAGACCAATATCACGATATAGCCTTAAGATTAAATAAAGAGAATAGTTTCAGAACAAGGATGAGCTTGTTTAGAATGCCACAGGCGAGTCTAAAATAAGAAGTGACTTTGGATATTCTAAAATCACTTCCAAGCATGCCTTTAACTAGATGAACTGTTAGGGAATGATGCATTTAATCCAGTTTTTAATAACATGTTCCAGTTATTAATGGAAACAAAAGCCAAAATTTGACATAGCATAAGTTCAAGCAACTACCTGCTTTTCTGGCAGCACGGCAAAGAAGCTCCTCTATCAAGTGCTGTGCAGGGTCTCCATCTGGAAACTTCTCCATAAAGTTCTCAACATAAGAAACCACTTCTTCGTTGGTTAGATATTGATACAATCCATCAGATGAGAGCACGATGAATTGATCTGTGGGGCAGAGTCTATGGTGACGAAGAGAAGGCATGCATGATAAGTATGGTGCAGTACCAATATACTCATTCCGAAACATTTCCAATAATGCATCATTCAACTTTGGCTGCAGAAAAATGGACAGCAACACCACCTTTTAAGTTAAAAACAGTTGGGTAGTCGTCGTTTAATAATACAAGAGAAAATCAGAAAAGAAGAGAAAAAAAAAACCATGTAAAAGTCAAGTTGGTCGAACAATCCTATCAACACGTAAAATTATGCACAACTGCCACCCCAAAACATATATTACCATGAGATAACTCAATCTAAAATGATTGTTGTAAGACAAGGAAGCTCATCCGGATAAGAGTGCAACAGGCAAATTAGCGGAGCTTAGAGTTCCCACCACTCATGCGCAAAAATTATGCAACTCATACACCCATATAAACAAAAAGCATAAGTAGTTGATTTTCAGATACAAGCCATCATCTACCAAGAAATCCATTGGGCACAAGTAGTTGATTTTCAGATACAAGCCATCATCTACCAAGAAATCCATTGGGCAGTGTAAACAATGATATTGGTGGTGCATGAAACCAAAGAAGTAACTCTCATTGTTGTTAGGACTTCAGAGAGTAATGAGAGAGAGGGTGTACACTATAAGGTACCTACAGGTACGAGAATAACAGTGCGAGTATAAATAAGCACCTCGGTACAGGAAGAGATCGCAAGGATGTATCTTTTTCTTCACTAAATAAACCAAAAAGAAACAATGATAAAATAAAAGTTCAATATGAAATCTAGGTACTCCCAGTTGACAAAAGCATTTGATTCCAATTTCATCTTTCATCGCTAAGAAAAAGGTGGCTAACGATAGTTGATTCATCATATCCCTCCATCTTCCCAAACAGTCATCATTCACATAATGAGATGGAGAAGATTTATCAATAACACAATATCTAAAACTTTAATAACTTGAGATCTGAGCGTCCGTGTGAA